GTATCCACCCCCTGAAGTTCCCATTAAATCTTTTAACCAAATTCATTTCCTCTCACCTGGAGACCATCAAGCTTCAGATGATCACACAACAAAGCTTCCAGTCAGTTCTAGGTGAAGACACCATCCCTAGTCATCAAGAAGCTGCCCTGCCTCAACTAGATAGAGCAGGGCGAGTTCCGTGATCCCCTGTACGTAGGGACTATGCCCCAAGCCAGAATGAAACAGTTACAGAAATAGACTCCATTATGGGGGACTTCATTATGTGGTCCCTCTTCCTCCCATAAAGATTTATGGGGATTGTATCTCTTGCCGGTAGCTGAAGCAGGAAAATAGGGTCTGGAGACAGGGAACATAAGGCCAGTCCACATTTCAGCTGTAACAGGAAATATCCTCTCCATAGGGCATACGCTGTAAATGACTTTGTAACTTCATCTCATCTCTTCATTTACGTAGGGCATACCCCAAGTAGAGGGCATTTAAACTCATAAAAACTCTAACAGGGCCTTTAAGCCCCTATGCTTAGTCCTGCTCCCACACTGTGGAGTGTACTTTCATTTTCAATAAATCCCTTCATCCCTTCCTGGACATCTCCAATGACAACACCAGGGATACAAGGTTGGTTCAATATATGGAAATCAATAAATGTGATTCATCACATAAACAGAACTAAAGACAAAAACCACATGATTAGGTGGCTGCCAAGATGGCCAAATAGGAACGGCTCCGGTCTGCAGCTCCCAGCAAGATCAACACAGAAGGTGGGTGATTTCTGCATTTCCAACTGAGGTACACAGCTCATCTCATTGGGACTGGTTAGACAGTGGGTGTAGCCCACAGAGGCCAAGCTGAAGCAGGGCCGGGTGTCACCTCACCTGGGAAGTGCAAGGAGTTGGGGAACTTCCTCCTCTAGCCAAGAGAAGCCATAATGGACTGTGCCATGAGGAATGGTGGACTCTGGCCCAGATACTATGCTTTTCCCACAGTCTTTTCAACCTGCAGACCAGGAGATCCCCTCGGGTGCCTACACCAGCAGGGCCCTGGGTTTCAAGCACAAAACTGGGTGTCCATTTGGGTGGACACTGAGCTAGCTGCAGGAGTTTTTTTTATACCCCAGTGGCACCTAGAACACCAGTGAGGCAGAAGAGTTTACTCCCCAGGAAAGGGGACTAAGAAGCCAGAGAGCCAAGTGGTCTAGCTCAACAGACCCCACCCCCATGAAGACCAGAAAGCTAAGATCCGCTGGCTTGAAATTCTCACTGCCAGCACAGCAGTCTGAAGTCAACCTGGGATGATGGAGCTTGGTGGGGGTAGGGGCATCTGCCATTACTGAGGCTTGAGTAGGTAGTTTTCCCCTCACAGTGTGAACAAAGCCGCCAAGAAATTCAAACTGCAGATTGGCAAAGAGGATGTGGAGAACACTTTTACACTGTTGGTGGGAGTGTAAATTAGTTCAACCATTGTGGAAGACAGTGTGGCAATTCTTCAAGGATCTAGAACCAGAAAAACCATTTGACCCAGAAATCCCATTCCTGGATATATATCCAAAGAATTATAAATCAATCTACTATAAAGACACACACACCTGTATGTTCACTGCAGCACTATTCACAATAGCAAAGACTTGGAACCAACCCAAATGCCCATCAATGATAGACTGGATAAAGAAATTGTGGCACATATACACCATGGAATACTACACAGCCATAAAATAGGATGAGTTCATGTCCTTTTCAGGGGCATGGATGAAGCTGGAAACCATTATTCTCAGCAAACTAACACGGGAACAGAAAACCAAACACCATATGTTCTCACTCACAAGTGGAAGTTGAACAATGAGAACACATGGACACAGGGAGGGAAACATCACACACCATGGCTTGTTGGGGGATGGGAGGCTAGGGGAGGGATAGCATTAGGAGAAATATCTAATGTAGATGACGGTTTGATTGAGTGCAGCAAACCATCATGGCACGTGTATACCTATGTAACAAACCTGCACGTTCTGCACATGTATCCCAGAACTTAAATAATTTTTTAAAATATATGATTACCTCAATAGATGGAGAAAAGACTTTTGATAAAATTCCACATCGCTTCATGTTAAAAACTCTCAATAAGCTGGGTATTGAAGGAACATACCTCAAAATATTATAATAATAGCTACCTATGACAAACCCACAGCCAACATTATACTTTAATGGACAAAGGCTGGAAGCATTCCCTTTGAAAACTGGCACAAGGCAAGAATGCACTTTCTCACCACTCCTATTCAATACGGTATTGGAATCCCTGGACAGAGCAATCAGGCAAGAAAAAGAAATAAAGGGCATGCAAATAAGAAGAGAAGAAGTAAAACTATTCCTATTGGCAGACAACATGATTCTATATCTAGAAATCCCCATGGTCTTCAGCTGATAAACAACTTCAGCAAAGTTTCAAGATACAAAATCAACATACAAAAATCACTAGCATTCCTATGCAGCAACAAAAACCAAGCTGAAAGCCAAATCCGCAAGGCAATCCCATTCACAATTGCCACAAAAAGAATAAAATATCTTGGAATATAGCTAACCAGGGAGGTGAAAAAGCTCTGCAAGGAGAATTACAAAACACTGCTGAAAGAAATCAGAGATGACACAAACAAATGGCTAAACATTCCATGGTCACAGACAGAAAGAATCAATATCACTGGAATGGCCATATTGCCCAAAGCAATTTACAGATTCAATGCTATTCCTATCAAACTACCAACAACATTCTTCACAGAACTAGAAAAAAGTATTTAAAACTTCATATGGAACAATAACAACAACAAAAAGCCTGAGTAACCAAGGCAATCCTAAGCAAAAAGAACAAAGCTGGAGGCATCACATTACCTGACTTCAAACTATACTACAAGGATACAGTAACCAAAACAGCATGGTAGGGGTACAAAAACAGGCACATAGACCAATGGAACAGAATAGAGAGCCCATAAATAAGGCTGCACACCTACGAACATCTGATCTTTGACAAAGCTGACAAAAACAAGCAATGGGGAAAACATTCTCTATTGAATAAATGGTACTACCCATAGGCAGGAAATTGAAGCTGGACCCCCTCCTTACACCATATACAAAAATCAAGTCAAGATGAATTAAAGACTTAAATATAAAACCCAAATTTATAAAAACCCTGGAGGACAACCTAGGTAATACCATTCTGGGCACAGGAATGGACAAATATTTCATTACAAAAATATCAAAAGCAATTGCAACAAAAGGAAAAATTGACCAATGGGATCCAATTAAACTCAAGAGCTTCTGCATAGCAAAAGAAAAAAAAAAGAAAAGATGGAGAGGATGTGGAGAAATAGGAACACTTTTACACTGTTGGTGGGAGTGTAAATTATTTCAACCATTGTGGAATACAGTGTGGCAATTCCTCAAGGACCTAGAAATAGAAATTCCATTTGACCCAGCATTACTGGGTATATATCCAAAGGATTATAAATCGTTCTACTATAAGGACACATGCACACGAATGTTCATTGCAGCACTGTTTACAATAGCAAAGACCTGGAACCAACCTAAATGCCCATCAATGATAGACTGCACAGGGAAAATGAGGCACATATACACCATGGAATATTATGCAGCCATCAAAAACGATGAGGTCGTGTCCTTTGTAGGGACACGGATGAAACTGGAAACCATCATTCTCAGCAAACTGACACAAGAACAGAAAATCAAACACCACATGTTCTCACTCATAGGTAGATGTTGAACAATGAGAACACATGGACACAGGGAGGGGAGCATCACACACTGGGGTCTGTAGGGGGGAAATAGGGGAGGGACAGTGGGGGGTGGGTGTAAGGCTGGTTGCCTTGCCGGGAGTCAAATGGACACATTCATCACTCTCCGTGCCTGATAACTGCGTCATCACCTGAGTTCATTATCTGGCTTCCCCACAAAGCTTCCCCGCACCCGCCTCTGCATACCATGCCCAAGCCCACACTCAGCACTAAATTATCCATCCAACCTCCAGCCCGCTGTTAAAAACCCTGCAGAGAAATTTTTTTTAAAAGAAGCCCCACCATTCCCTGCCCAGCAACAGCCTGCCCTGTACGTCCCTGGCAGGCCCGCATACCCAAGGTCCTGCCCACCTACCAATGGCATCTAGTTTCATGTACTTCCTACTTTAACTCCATGTACTTCCTGCTCCTCAACAGCCAATAGAAATGCCTTCTCTTTGTTTCCCCAGTAGTCCATCGAGGCCCACTTACCCAAGGTCCCGCCTACCAATGGCAGCTACTTTCATGTACTTCCTACTTTAACTCCATGTACTTCCTGCTCCTCAACAGCCAATAGAAACGCTTTCTCTTCATTTCCCCAGTAGTCAATCCAGGCCGACTTACCCAAAGTCCTGCCTGCCTACCAATGGCAGCTAGATTCATGTACTTCCTACTTTAACTCCATGTACTTCCTACTCCTCAACAGCCAATAGAAATGCCTTCTCTTTGTTTCCCAGTAACCAACAATTGCCTGCACACCCCATAAAACCCCACGCCCTGAACAGCCGGGTGTGACTTCTCTGGCCCCTCTTGGACCACTGAGGTTGCCCGGGAGCTGAATAAATTGACTTCTCATCTTTTTTCATACCAGCCTCAGTTTCCTCATTTTGCCTCGGCAATAAATCTTACAGTGGGGAGTTGGGGAGAGATAGCATGGGGAGAAATGCCAGATATAGGTGATGGGGAGGAAGGCAACAAATCACACTGCCATGTGTGTACCTATGCAACAATCTTGCATGTTCTTCACATGTACCTGAAAACGTAAAATGCAATTAAAAAAAAGAAAAGACAAAGAAAATTATTGTTACAGACAAAAAAGAAAGAAAGAAATTATCAAGGACCTGTGGGAACCCAGGGCACACACACCTCGCCGGCTTAATTTTTCACCTCGGTGTCTGCAGCACCCTCCACTTCTCTCCAAGGTGACGAGACCCAGCAGCTAGAAATTCACCATGTCTATTCTCAAGATCCATGCCAGGGAGATCTTTGACTCTCACGGGAATCCCACTGTTGAGGTTGATCTCTTCACCGCAAAAGTTCTCTTCAGAGCTGCTGTGCCCAGTAGGGCTTCAACTGGTATCTATGAGGCCCTAGTGCTCCAGGACAATGATAAGACTTGCTATATGGGGAAGGGTTTCTCCAAGGCTGTTGAGCACATCTGTAAAACTATTGTGCCTACCCTGGTTAGCAAGAAACTGAATGTTACAGAACAGGAGAAGATTAACAAACTGATGATCGAGATGGTTGGAACAGAAAGTAAATCTAAGTTTGGTACAAATGCCATTCTGCGGGTGTCCCTCACCATCTGCAAAGCTGGTCCTATTGAGAAGGAGGATCCCCCTGTACCGCCACATCGCCAACTTGGCTGGCAACTCCGAAGTCATCCTGCTAGTTCCGGCATTCGATCTCATCAATGGTGGTTCTCATGCTGGCAACAAGCTGGCCATGCAGGAGTTCATGATCCTCCCAGTGGGTGCCGCAAACTTCAGGGAAGCCATGTGCATTGGAGTGGAGGTTTATCACAATCTGAAGAATGTCATCAAGGAGAAATATGGGAAAGATGCCACCAATGTGGGAGATGAAGGCAGGTTTCCTCCCAACATCCTGGAGAATAAAGAAGGCTTGGAGCTGCTGAAGACTGCGATTGGCAAAGCTGGCTACACTGATAATGTGGTCATTGGCATGGACATAGCAGCCTCTGAGTTCTTCAGGTCTGTGAAGTATGTCTCCCAATGACCCCAACAGGTACATCTCACCTGACCAGCTGGCTGACCTGTACAAGTCCTTCGTCAAGGACTACCCAGTGGTGTCTACGGAAGATCCCATTGACCAGGATGACCGGGGAGCTTGGCAGAAGTTCATGGCCAGTTCAGGAATCCAGGTAGTGGGGGATAATCTCACAGTGACCAACCCAGAGAGTACTGCCAAGGTCATGAATAAGAAGTCATGCAATTACCTTCTGCTCAAAGTGAACCAGATTGGCTCCCTGACCAAGTCCCTTCAGGCGTGCAAGCTGGCCCATGCCAATGGTTGGGGTGTCATGGTGTCTCATCGTTCTGGGGAGACTGAAGATACCTTCTTCACCAACCTGGTGGTGGGGCTGTGAACTGGGCAGACCAAGACTGGTGCTCCTTGCTGATCCAAGTACTTGGCCAAGTACAACCAGCTCCTCAGAATTGAAGAGGAGCTGCGCAGCAAGCCTACGTTTGCCAGCAGGAACTTCAGAAACCCCCTGGCCAAGTAAGCTGTGGGCAGGCCAGCCCTTCAGTCACCTGTTGGCTAATTAGACCCTCCCCTCGTGTCAGCTCAGGCACCTCGAGGCCCCTGACCAACACTTACAGGGGCCCCTGCTAATTAGCTCCCCTCACACACCGCCATGGAGTTCGTACCACCTTCTTGGAAGATCTACAGAAGCCAAGCTCCCTGGAACCCTGTTGGCAGCTCTAGCTTTGCAGCTGTGTAATTGGCCCAAATCATTGTTTGTCTTGCCTTGATTTCCACCAAGTGTCTGGAGTCATGTGAGCCTCCAGCATCGTCTCTGGGGTGGCCACAGGCAAGATCCCCAGTGGTTTTGTGCTCAAAATAAAAAGCCCCAGTAACCCATGGAAAAAAAAAAAGAAACTATCAACAGAGTAAATAGACAACCTACATAATGGGGGAAAATATTTTGGAAACTATGCATCTGACAAAGGCCTAATATCCAGCATCTATAAGGAACTTAAACAAATTTACAAGAGAAAAATAAACAACCCCATTAAGAAGTAGGCAAACATAAACAAACACTTTTCAAAAAAAGACATATATGCAGCCAAGAAGCATATGAAAAAAGCTCATCATCACTGATCATTAGAGAAATGGAAATCAAAATTACAATGAGATGCTATCTCACACCTCTATCAGAATGGCTATTCTTAAAAAGTCAAAAAAAATAATAGATGCTGATGAGATCGTAGAGAAAAGGAAACACTTATACACTGTTGGTGGGAGTGTAAATTAGTTCAACCATCGTGGAAAGCAGTATGGCAATTCTTCAAAGAACTATAAATAGAACTACCATTCAACCCAGCAATCCCAATATTGAGTATACACCCAGAGAAATAGAAATCATTCTACCTTAAAAACACATGCATGTGAATGTTCATTGCAGCACTATTCACAATAGCAAAGACACGGAATCAGCCTAAATGCCCATCAGTGTCAGATTGGATAAAGAAAATACGGTACTTACACACCATAGAATACTATGCTTCCATAGAAGAGAATGCACTTGTGTCTTTTGCAGGAACATGGATGGAGCTAGAGCAATTAGCCTTAGCAAACTAATGCAGTCACAGAAAACTACATATCATGTGTTCTAACTTATAAGTGAGAGCTAAATGATGAGAACTCATGAACACAAAAAGGGAACAACAGACACTGGGACATACTTGAGGGTGGACGTTAGGAAGAAGGAGAGGAGCAGAAAAAATAACTGTTGGGTACTAGGCTTAATACCTGGGTGATGAAATAATCTGTACAATAAAACCCTGTGATATGAGTTTACCTATATAATAAACCTGCGCATGTACTTCAGAACTTAAAAGTTTAAAATAAATTTTTTTTTTTTTTTTGGGACGGAGTTTTGCTCTTGTTACCCAGGCTGGAGTGCAATGGCACAATCTCGGCTCACCGCAACCTCCACCTCCTGGGTTCAGGCAATTCTCCTGCCTCAGCCACCCGAGTAGCTGGGATTACAGGTGCGCGCCACCATGCCCAGCTAATTTTTTGTATTTTCAGTAAAGACGGGGTTTCACCATGTTGACCAGGATGGTCTCGATCTCTTGACCTCATGATCCACCTGCCTTGGCCTCCCAAAGTGCTGGGATTACAGGCTTGAGCCACCGCGCCCGGCCTAAAATAAATATTTTTAAAGAAGCTTCCCAGGGACTGAAATTGGTAGGCGAGCTTTCAGAACTCTTGGTGTGAAGTAAGTAAGGCAGTTTCCAGTGTTCTCACCCCATTTTATTCTACACCTCGTCATTCACTTTCACAGTCCCGCAAAGGGGCTCTTGCCCATACTCAGTACTCAAGGTCTTTTCTGATTTCTCATCAAAGTTAACCAGTCTTCCCAGGCATGGTGGTGTGTGCCCACAGTCCCAGCTACTTGGGAAGCTGAGATGGGAGGATACCTTGAGCCCAGGAATTCAAGGCCAGCCTGGGCAACATAGTGAGATCCCATCTCTAAAACAAATAAATAAATGAGCAAAGAATTTACCAGTCTCTAGGATGAGATAAACCAATCTATGCTAAGGTATTAATACCTGATAATACAGTATTCCAAAAAGTAGGTGCATTAGAATAGGGTAATTGAGAAAGCACACGGAGTACATACAAAGAGAATTTGGGGGATCAGGTCCTGGAGGCACTGGGCTTAATTCGTGGGCTTAACTAATGGGCTTAATCCATTGCATGAATTTCTTCAAGTTGATTCCTTGTTGAAACTCATCAGTTGGACTGTTAACCACATGTCCTTCCATAGCCCCTACTGTCTTCGGTATGTAGTTGCACTTTTAGTAAAATTGATCTTGAAAGAAAAGATAGGCAATATCTTTTAATAATTGACATGAACTCCAGTAGAACTTAATATCTATATGGCTTGATATTTAATATTATACCCCATGTATGGTTGTTTTATTTTCTCATAGACACATGTCTCTAACTCAAGTAAGGGCTAAGGCCATATCTTCTACTTCTTTTCTGGCCAAGGCACTTAGCTGAACCTATACACAGAGTAATTATTCAATACTTGTCAAGGAACTGAAGCAAAACCCAATGATTGACTCTAAGAGAATATTTAATATCACATGGTTTTTGTATGTGTGTGTGTTTTACACACCGATCAAATCTCCTCTTTCTTCTCTTTATTTTGGTTACTACTATCTCCTGGTTACTACCATCTCCTACAGTAGATAACCTTTGAAGTATCTACACAGCACAGCACTTCTTGCTTCTCTCAGTACTCCTCTTCTACCTATACAGATAGAAAGCCATGTTTATATTATGTGACTCTGACCCTATGGTTACAGTTGATTAGGGGTAGTACCTGATAGGGCTTTAGCCAATCAGATTCTGTTTCCTGGAAATTTTTCATTGGTACCTAGAGTTGGCTAGTTGGTCTCTGTGTAGAAAAAAAGCCAAGAAAGTCATTTTGTAAAAGGAGAGATGCCAAGATGAACTTCCTGGGTTCCTGTGCTGGCTTTCTGGTTCCTATTACTAATTTCTTCTTGTGGTTGGGTCACATCCTGCCTATAGACACCATGAGACCTCTGACATTTTTATTTTGTAAATGACCATTTATTGATTTTTACTTAAGCCAGCTTGAGATACTATTAACTACTTAAAACCAGACTCTTCCATCCCATTATAAAAAAGTCTACCAACGGGGAGTAAGGCAATCAGACCGGTTGACTGGCACGCTGTACATATGTGGCACTGAAGAGCAGGCTAGGTGATGGAATGGTCTGTGAGTTGTTATGCATGCAGTAATCATTCTGAAATGCAAGATGTTGTGATCTATGGTCCAGCTATTGTTTCAGCCAGCCAGGTTCCTCTTGCCAACTGCAAGAAACAGCCAATATACTGAAACAGCAGGTGTCACAGTAGAGAAAGAGTTTAATCATTGCCTGGCAGTTGAGCAAGGGAAAAAGGAGATATTACTCAGATTTGCCTCCCCACAAATTTGGAGACTAGTGTTTTTAAGGATTGTTTGGATGGCAGGGGGCTAGGGAGTTCTACTGATTGGCTGGGAATGAAATCACAGGGGTGTCAAAACTGTCTTCATGCATCGAGTCATTTCCTGAATTGGAGGCAGCATTGAGTCATTTCCTGAACTGGAGGCAGCATTGAGTCATTTCCTGAATTGGAGGTACTAGCCCAGGTGGCATCAGTTGGTCCACCAGAATGAAAAGTCTGAAAAATATCTCAAAGACCAGTCTTGGGTTTCATAATAGTGACATTATGTATAGAAGCAATTAGAGACATTTCAAATCTTATAACCACCAGTTATGTGACTTCTGAGCAGTAAATAATTATAAAAAATAAACTAGGACACTATGACTAATTACTGTTTAACTAGGTCTATATTTTAGCAGAATTCAGGCCCCTACTGTAATTTTAGCTTTGTAGCCTTTCATTAGTTTTACAAAGGCAGTTTCAGTCACTGAATAGGGAGGGAGTGAATTTTGGGAAGAGACAATTATCATCCTTGCTTTTAAAGTTAAACAAAATTCCTCCCATAGTTAGCCTGGCCTACACATAGGAATGAGCAAAAGCAGTTAGCTTGTGAGGTTAGAAACAAGATGGAGTCAGTTACCTTAGATTTTTTTTCAGTGTTACAATTTCACAAAGGCAGTTTCACTATCACTTACAGAATCAGGGGAGATGAAGAAGGAAGGCCTAGTCTCTTTTCCAAAGCTTGCTTCTAGTATCATATGGTTAAACACAAAGCACAACAAGTAACAAGGGGATGTGGTTTATAACCATTGCTAAAAGTTGCTTAATTTTTTAAACGACTTTCCTGTGGTATGATCGACATATAAAAGCTGCACATATTTATTATATACATCTCAATGACCTTGAGAATAAGAATATACCTGTGAAACTATCATCACTATCAAAACTATAAACAAATCCATTACCTCCCAAAGTTTCCTCCCATACCCTTTGTTATGATGATTGTTTTGGGGGTTTTGTCCGTGTGATGAGAACACTTAACAGCAACAGATCTACCGTTTTAGCAATTTTTAAGTAGACAATATTATTAGCCAGAGGCACTATGCTGTATAACAGATTTTCAGAGCTTATTTATCTTGCATAAATGAAACGTTGTACCCTTTAACCCTCACCTTCTCTGTACCCCTCCTCCCAGCCCCTGGTAACCAACATTCTACTCTCTGATTCTATGAGTTCAAGTATTTGAGATTCCACACATAAGTGAGCTCCTGTGCTGTTTGCCTTTCTGTGTCTGGTTTTTTCACTTAATGTAAGAAGTTCTCCAGATCACCCATGTTGTTTTAAATGATAGGATTTCCTTTTTTTTTTTTTTGAGAGAGTCTTGCTCTGTCATTAGGCTGGAGTACAGTGGTCTGATCTCAGCTCACCACAACCTTCACCTCTTGGGTTCAAGTGATCCTCCTGCCTCAGCCTCCCAAGCAGTTGGGACTACAGGCACCCACCACTACACCTGGCCTGGCTAATTTTTGCATTTTTTATTGCATTTTAGGTTTTGGGGTACATGTGAAGAACATGCAAGATTGTTGCATAGGTACACACATGGCAGTGTGATTTGCTGCCTTCCTCCCCTTCACCTATATCTGGCATTTCTCCCCATGCTATCTCTCCCCAACTCCCCACCCTCTGCTGTCCCCCCCATTCCCCCCAACAGACCCCAGTGTGTAGTGCTCCCCTCCCTGTGTGCATGTGTTCTCGTTTTTGCATTTTTAGTAGAGACAGAGTTTCACCACATTGGCCAGAATGGTCTCGATCTCTTGATCCGCCCACCTCAGCCTCCCAAAGTACTGGGATTACAGGCATGTGTCACTGCGCCCAGTCAGATTTCCTTTTTTTT